GAAAAACGGCTTTATCAAGCCGAAAAAAAACAGCTGATCGCCGCGCCAGCTGTCAATGGGCAGGCGGCAGAGTCCTATGCGGCGCGTGTTGAGCGCGCAGGGAGTGAAAGGACGCAGGGTAGCTGTCCCGCGCCGCCGACGGTTTGCCACTCGTGACGCGGTCGCTGGTGCACCCGCGTCTGCGGTCCTTCGACCGCCCTAATCAGGTACAAGGATGACGACTGTTCATCCCTGAGACGGAGTAGGCGTGGCATTTGGACATGGCATAGGATGGGTTACTCGTGGGATATTTCAACTTGAGACAACTGTCATCTTGTTCTTATTGGACAAAGACGTGACCACAGTTGTCTCAAAATTAAAAGCCAAAACCACAATCACACCACGTTTAGTTGAAGCAAGCAGCCACGCCTACCACACCTCAGGGATCTCGGGTGTAACTCCTCGGTCTCGTCTGCTTGCTCATGGGAAGCTCTACCTTGACTACATTAAAAACTTCATTTTCATGTTTAGGTGATGTTCAATGCACCGAATCCAGAAGCGTCGTTTGCACTGAATGCCCTCATGGAAATTCCGGATCAATACAAAGCTATTAAGGAGCTCGGGCTGTTGAAACACAGTCGAAGGGGTTAGAAAGCAGTATAAGTATACGATATCGGCCGAGCGAACATTATAGGCCTGTCGCCGACGTGCACACGTTCCATGCAATTGCTATGATCTCAAGAAATCAATTTTTTTCTCATTAGGCAATATTTTCAAATGTTCTGTGGGATCGCGTGCATTTACGTGTGCATGCGGTGACGGGTGCAAACGATCACAAACGCTAATCGCCGACGTCCAAATTTTGCTGCTCATCAATCTTCAAATTGAAGATGCTTATAGCGTGAAATTCGGCAACGGCGGCGAGCGTATCGCGTTGCGTCACTTCCCTTTTTCATACAGTATGTATCAAATTTGATGAAATTTTCACTAGAAATATACCATGTCGCAACGGGACACGTCGTCGTCTGCGTTTCTAAGCGCTTTCACATGCACTTTTGAGCGCGCGTTTTTGTGATATAGTATCATAGTTGTAGTCAGCTGTCGTTGTGACCGATTTAACAAGCACTCAAGCAATTTCGCGCCTCATTTTCCTATTTTTCACACATGGAATGCGGACATTGTATTGTTTGTTGTAATTATTGTTATGTAAAATAAATCGAATAACGCATTTCCTGGATACAGTACAGTTTTTTTGGTTCGGTCTTCTTGAAATCCCGGTACGTAAATATGAAGGAAATATATACCAAATCTCCTACAGAAAAACTGTCGGATACACATCCAGCGATCGAATCGTGGGTAGTTGGGTTAAAATATGAACTTGCTGGTGCAAATCTACTACTAGAAGAAGGCCTCAATGAAGACGCTCCGATGATGCCCATTTGGTTTTCAGCACTGGAAAGGCGCCTTTTTTGGGTGCACCCTAACTAAAGAAGGCACAGTCAGAATTATTTCACAATTCCGCGGCAGGGAACGCCAGTTAAGGAAATCACTACGGGTGATCGTGTTTGGCCGCGAAGAAAGAGGGTCGTAAGTGCAGGACTCATGCAGAAGTGAGAATAGCAACAATGCTGAGGTGTAGAGCAATCACTGATCGATAGAAAATTTATTTATATTTTGCCTTAAAGAACACCTGAAGAGACATCTGAAGACAGAGGTGAGCTGCAAGCTCAGAAGTTGGCAACGGACAGTGACAGGAACTAAGATGGCCGCACACAACGACGTCATGAAATAATAAACACACTCCCGTACCTTTCTGAACCGCAGGAGCACACCTGCTTGCACGAAGAAACCTTACTGGAGTCACACCCTTCGAACACCTCTGGAAGGGAGTCGGATGCATGGCACAGTGCAAAGGCGAGCCAATCGGTGCCGAGTGAACTATTCCCCGACAACCTCGACGAAGAGTTGTGTCTAGAAGCTCACTCAGTTCTTCAAACAAAGTGGAAATGGCACTGCGCCGGAGATAAAGATTTTTCGCGTCGTCCAAAACTTGCCACAACAAGAACACAATGGATATTTTCTGAACAATAGTCTTGAGAAAAAGTGAGGTGCTTTTTGAGGAGGGGAGGTCTACTACATGCCGGCACTGTTTTTAATTTCTTAAAAGATCCCATCTGACGAGTGTCAAGCTGTTCAAAGCATGCAAACTGTGATGACACTGAAATTCAACATCAAGATGCTTTCCCCTCTCCGGAAGCTCCGCTTCCAAGAAAGCTGTGGATGTTCAAAAAAGGGTACTTCTAGAGTTCTTGGCCTATTTTGACACACACATCACGAAATAACTTGCTTTAGTGCAACAGTGAAAAAGTGGGCTAATGCCGTTTGGACTCCAGAAATTTCGGCTCCGAGCTCATTTTCAAATTGCCTAAGTCACCAAATCCACTAAAAACTTGTATATAGGGGTAATTCAACATCCTGATTACGAGTATGACACTCATTCTTGGCGCTGGCGCCAAGAGAGGACACTACGATTACCTCCTGGGCTCATAACAGCGAGTGGAATTTAGCACAAATGCGCCTTCTCTTCATTCCATGCACGTACAAGTTAAGGTCGACATGCAGTCCTATTTATGGTATTTCGATTTGTTTTTTTTGCATCTTTTGTTCCAGTAATCAGTTACCTAGCACTTTGTCGTTCATATTTCTACTCCGTCATCCGCAATCTGTGGTTGCGGGCTTTGCCTTTAACACGTTCGCGGCGCCGTTTCGCCAAAAACTCCCATTTGTCGAGTGGCGCGTTCGCGGCGTGCGACACTTGGACAGTCGTTCCCGTTTATGGTTCAGAGCGCTCGGGGCGGATACAACTTCCCCAAAAACATTGTGCCAGGCCGAGGTACAGGAAAAAAAACGCCTAAGCAATGAGTGTCGGACTGTGTGTAGATTTTGTTGACAAAGGACTCACGCTGCAACTATAACAGACCCCAAACAACACGATGTCCTCATTGTAAAAATCAATACTGCCTCAACTGCTTTCAAAAGATACACGAGATGTGCTCTTAATATTACTTCTATATTGTTTACATTATTATTTTTATACAATTTCCAGTGAAGAGAAGAGGATTCAAAAAAAACAAGCGAAGAGGCGCGTGTTCTCCCGGAATTGAGCAGTTCGTTTGAAGAAACAGTCTTTAAATCTTTTCTCAAGAGTACATGCCTCTTCTAATGTGTGCACATTATTTCTCTTTTGTTTTTTCGATTATTTGAATCCAATTCTCCGCGAAAAAATAAAAGAAAGTACCAAAAACGAGCTAATAGGCGCGTGTACTCCCGGGGAGTACACGCCGCCTCGAAGAAGTTAAGAGCAGGGCACATCGTTGTTGGGGAATCCCCAATAGGGGTCGCTGCATGGATGTTTCTAAAAGGGGGGTCGTACTTGGTCATTTTTGGGAGGGGGGTCGTATTTACGTTTTGGCGTTGTAGGGAGAGGTGGTTGACTTTTCGTGATTTTCGTGATTTTCCTGTTCCATGCCTACTATATGCCCCCCCCCCCCCCCCCCCCCGCTCGACAGCAAAATTTTTGGTAACGAGTTAGGATGTTTCGTTTTTTCCCGGAAAGTTTTGGAAAAAAGGGCAGAAGCTGGAGAAAATCTGAAAATTGGCTAGAGTGGCGGTGCGTCATCTCGTGCGATTTTTCTTGTTTCACATATGCTATTTACCCTCCCCCCCCCCCCTCCCTCCGCTCGACGAGTCGATTCGGTGAGGAAGGACAAAGGGCTGGAGGGAGGGGGGGGGGGGGGAGGGGGATCGTACCAACTTCCCAAAAAGAGGAGGGGTCATACAGACGACTAAACCCCAACCATTGATGTGCCCTGGTTAAGAGACATTTGACGAATGCGTTGGTGTGCACCGCCTCATGGCCTTCACTTCGCGCACAACTTCTTGCGACGTCGGTACGCCCCGCTAATCAGACCTCCTTTTTTGTGTCGGGGGAAGGATTTCACCATCAACATTTTTTGTCTGTTGTTTCTACCGAATGACTACTTCGAAGGACCTGGCACGTTTGACATGCTTTCTTTGCAAGCTCTACAACCAAGAGCTTTCTATTAGGTGGTGCATAAGTTCTTTGCCACGATTTTTTCTAAATATCCTCAAAAAGCGAGGAGAGCCCAACCTGAAAGATTAGAGGTATGCACCATCACCATCCACTACTCGATGCCAGCGCTCAGGCAGCTTGTCGATTCCTTCTTTCCAGAACGACGGGGGCTGGGACTTGAAGAAGTCGTCGAGTGCCTTTCTGACCTGATCTTTGCGTATTGAACTTTTTCCGCCAAGAGAGCGCTAGCCACGTGCAGGAAACAGCCAGCAGTCAGAAGGAGCGATGTCAGGGCTATAGGGGGGCTGGGGCGAAAGGCGCAAAAAATCGTCTGTCCCTTCTCCAGCAGCTCCCAGTACTCCATGCCTCTTCTGGACCACCAACAGGACAGGAGAACCTTCTTGGGGTGAAGGTCGGCCTTTGGGGTGGCTTCTGGCTGTTCTCCTTTGTCGACCCACTGCCGCTTCCTCACAGGGTTATCGTAGAGGACCCACTTCTCATCTCCAGTGATCATCGAGTTGAGAAAGTGAACTTCTTTTGTGAATCTGAAGTAAAACCAAAACAAGCTGGCGCAAGGTTACATTTTCAACAGTGGAAATTGATGCGACATCTGTGGCCTGGCAAATGCAAGGTGGCGTGAGTGCATAAGCTAGTCGTGATCAAAGAGATAGTGCGCCCACGTCACAGGCCCACAGGTGATGACGAATACCAACATCGCATGCAAACCGAAAGCGAGGTTACGTGGTCAAGAACTTATACACCAACTAGTAGCTTAACGTTCTGTGCGAGAATTCCTAGAATTCCGAAAATAAGTTAATATCCACTAAATAGGCCCAATATACACAGTTTTACGTCCTAACACCCGAGACTGACGCTCCACGCACATCCAATTGGAGCTATGCATAGATTTGTAATGGCGAGTATATTAGCGGCAAAATCAGTATCTACCGGTTTTAAACCAACGCTCTTCCGTCCTTCTTCCTTGTGTTCAGAAAATCAGCATGATACTCACTCCTCGAACGCTGTGCACCTAATGTAAGAGACCTAATCCAATAGGACCTAATGTAAGAGATCTTTTGTTAATGGTAGTAGAGCTTTGGTTTTTTGACGAGTTGATCATCATCAAAGTGAACTGCGGAGAGAGCGTTTAAGCTATAGAATAAAATCACGAGGATGTCCGTAATCGCGTAATTACAGTGCTATCCATATGACATATGAGTGAGTCCTTTCAGAAGGAAAGGGAGGGGGGCGTACGGTTGGGCGCGGCGCCAAGCCTTCTCCATCAACATCTGTTGCCTGTCAGCTTCCACAGTTCGTGAAGAACACGGGCTGGCGCCGCGCCGAACTAAGTCCCTTGGCACGCCACAGCCTTGTGAGCTCAAACTGTGTAAACTCGTATTTCGTCATAGGTGCCTCTAAAGGCATGATCTTGTTGATCTTGCCATGAGGCTTGTTATCAATTTATATCAATTTTACATGAGGAGTTTTAGATGTTGCAGTACAATATAAAGTCATGTACACTTTTTGAGGAGGTGGTGTAGTGACAAGTGGCGCGCTT